TCGGAAACATGAACTTTATTTTCGAAGATAAAAAGGTACCCAAAAAACTAAAGAGGAAAGCCTACGACACCTGTATTCTGCCGGTTCTCACCTACAGCTTAGAAACTATGACAATAACCCGAAGCGCAGCTGAGCAACTGAGAGTCGCACAGAGAGCCATAATGATGCTGGGAATCACCTTAAGGGATGACATACGAAATGAACAGATACGTGCGGCGAGGCAGGACCCAGATAGATGGACCCAGAAAACATGGATGAGATTAGCTAGAGATCGTGGCACATGGAAAAACATGGAAAATCCCTATATCCGACAATGGATGGACACGGGCTGACGAAGAAGAAGAAGAAGAAGGTGTATCTCTATCGTGTGTGTTTTTGTCATAAGAAACAATGTGTCAGAAAAGAACTTTGCATCTGTAAGAAAAATGAAAAAGGTCTCATTCTAACACAATGTTTCTTGTGACAAAAACATTTTAAAATATTTTTTGCTGGAAAACTGTTAAAGATAGACCTGTTGAATTTTGTATCATTGAAATCAGCAAAAGCAGAGCTATCCAATGATTTTATAATCGGATGTCTCATTTGAAAACACTATCTTTGGTTCATAAATCAAAAACTTTCACTTCTAGAAAAAAACTGACTAACTGACTACGCCACTAGAGTCTTCATTAAAATATCTATAAGAATCCGTTTTCACCTTTTCGATCACTTATGACTTATGAGAGAACCGATATACAGGGTGTCCAAAATACCATGGGCCACCATGGGTATATCAGAAACGGTAAGAGATACGGGGGCAGTTAAATTAGGAAAAAGTTGCCATTTTCAAAGGGTATTTAAAATATATTTTCGTTGTTGCCAAATTTTTATTAGTTTCCGAGATACAGGTATTTCGGAGACTAATAGAAATTTGGCAACAACGAAAATATATTTTATTAAATACCCTTCGAAAATGGCAACTTTTTTCTAATTTAACTGCCCCCGTATCTCTTACCGTTTCTGATATACCAATGGTGGCCCATGGTATTTTGGACACCCTGTATAAGGGGTGTCCCAAAATGCAACTTTTTCAAAAACACCTTGTATCTGAAAAATCTAAAAGGATGGTGACAGTTCTGTTGGCGCCATCTTTCGTTTGACAAATAAGTAGCCAAAGTTCGCGAACAGCGCATCCTTCCAACTCTAATAAAGTCTGTTTTTTTTTTAAGGATAAAAGTCAAAATGACATTATGTTGGCAATACAATGTAAAATTGTCAATGCTGGTTCAAGCACAAATAACTATTGGTATTTTACTTGATTTCTGTGCCTTGACCGAATTCTCACACGAATATGGTTTGGCTAATTGAATAGGATGTCATACTGCATATCGAACATCCACACATTGAACACCCTGTATCTTAAAAACTTGTTATAGGATTAAGTTGTGCCTCTGGTAGTTATTGATCAGAAAGATCAGATCTATAACATACTCGAATTTGGTTAAATTTGACCGCGGTCAGAAATCCCATGAGAAGTGTGCGGGGTCCTTTCTAACAAAGATAAATAAATTACCATAGACAAAGGGCTGCTAAGATACCTAATATCTTTTTGTGAGAGGGTTGACCCAGGGGTTGACTTACCTCTTCTCAGTTTTTCCTTTAAGAGGACTCCGGAGCACGCCGCATCTACAAAACTCACTCCGCGACCGAAATACGGTAGGCCAACGTGAGGGATATCGTTAGTGAGCGCGGTTCCCTCATTCATTAGCGTAGCGTAGTTAACAATACCTAATGGCACGAATTATAAGAATTTCTTGTTAAAAATGATAAATATCAGGAATCTTCTTTTTTGTTGTAAAAATTTCGAAAAATGCTCAACTACTATCCTTTGACCATAAACATTTGTTTTCCAGTGTTCCACCCGATGAAGTAATCGAACTGATCAACATTCTCTAACATTACGCATTACATCTAAATTCTTCAGAAAATCATGACATGCTTAAGATTTTAAAATTTTGCACAAAAAAAAATAAATCCAAGAAATTAAATTATCTTGAGATCCATTGTTGTTATTGATTTTATATCTTTAAGTTCCTACTCAATTATGTTGTATGTTGTTACCTATGATACGTACCCTTACCTATTATATAATTTGTATACCTATATTCTATATCCTGTTCACAATCCGATGTCCACAGGTGCAGGTAACTTTATCACCTTTCCCTATCAAATAGCATTGAAAGGTGATAAATTGTACCTGTACCTGTGGACATCGGATTGTGAACGGATAATAGATTAGCTTAGCATATCAGTTTAGTTATTCCGTCTGAAGAAGGCACCATGTGCTGAAAAATGTTACGGTTTCATTTGAATAAAATTATGGAAATCTAGAAACATTAGTGTTTTCAATCACATCTATTTCGTACCGTACCTACAAAATCGAATATATTCGTAGCTACTCTAATTCTATGTGGGTAGACCTAATTTTCCGACGCGTCCCGTCAAATAAGCAGAAAATATTACATTGTCTTAGGGAATAGTATATTACAATCCGAGACGGAAAATACTTCATTGCTGGTCGAGAGGTTATTATAGTTTATCGAGACGCGAAGCGTCGAGATAAACTCAACCTCGAGACAGAAATGAAGTTTTCCGTCGAGGTTTGTATACTTTTTTATTTTCAACCCTTAATTTTCTGATGCAAAAACTAAAGATTCTGTTATACGAAATTTTCATATAGTGTAAAACTGGCCTTAGAAAAAAATATTTCACTTTTTTTGTCAATGTCATCAATTTTGACGATCTCAAAGGCCCTGTAAAGGCCAAAACAAAAGACGAAACCACAGGAAACCGCAAAATCAACAACCATAGATAAGATCAACAACGCCTTAACGACGGTAGTTTTCGCTCAGTATAATAGATTTTCACTAGATTTCTCCCCGTTCTCCCCAAAGAAATGATTTCGGAAAGTGAAGATGAAGCGATGGATTGTACCCCACCTGAATTAAAAGAAGCAGCAGACAGGATTGGAGAGAGTTTGCTTCCAGCAAAAAGCAAATTTCGGTACGAAAAGGCTTTTCAAATATTCGAAGCATGGTGTAGCCAGAAAGGAACGAGAAATACTGCCTCGGAGACCTGTTTTGTTGGCGTATTTTGGCGAATTATCTAAGGAAAAGAAGCCTTCGACTTTATGGTCGACTTACAGTATGTTGAAAACCATGATTAAATTGAAAGAGAAAGTTGATATCTCCAATTACGCAAAACTTATAGCTTTTTTGAAGCGGCAAAATCTGGGCTTTCAGCCGAAAAAGTCGAGCGTTTTTTCCAGAGAAAACATTAACGAGTTCCTCACGAAGGCAGCTGAAGAATTCATTAGCATCAAGGTAGGTTTTCAAAAAATATACAAAGAAGATAAAAATGCGAAAATCAAAATGATTTTCTGTATGCTATAGCTAGGTTACCCATTTTATTTTTATCTGGTTTCAGGTAGCGCTAATTGTTGGTGTGTCGGGTGCATGTAGGAGCGATGAACTAGTCAAGATGAAAATGGAGCACGTCAACGTTTTGGAAGGAAAGATCGCTATAGAAATTCCACACACAAAAACTTACACAAGTCGATCGTTTATCATAAGCGATCCAGATTGGGTTGCTATTTTCCACAAATACCTCACTTTGCGGAAAAAATTTGAAAAATGACAGGTTATTTGTTCAATGGCGAAATGGGAAATTACATAACCAAGCAATTGGCTATCATTCAATCTCAAAATTTCCACATAAAATAGCTGCTTTTTTGAAGCTTCCAAAAATTGAAACTTTTACAGGGCATGCTTTTCGTCGTACTTCCGCAACCTTATTGGTTGACAACGGGGCCGATCTATTGCAACTCAAAAGACTGGGAGGGTGGAAATCGAGCACGGTTGCTGAAGGCTACATAGAGGCATCTTTGGAGAACAAAAGTAAGACTGCTCTGATGCTATCCTCTACTTCCAAAGGTATTCAGTTGTCCAGTGCATCCACAAGTACATCACATGCGGAAACTCATCCGCAAGCGCAAGAGATAATAGTTCCAAACGAAACACAATTCCAACAGCTCTCACATATAATAATAAAACCACATGTATTACATGGAACTAATTAAATCTATTCACTTATTTACATTAATTGTTAAATTAGCATTGTTGTTTATAATGGAAATCTTGAGACCATCCTGTTGGAATTGTGTTTCGTTTGGAACTATTATCTCTTGCGCTTTGCGGATGAGTTTCCGCATGTGATGTACTTGTGGATGCACCTGGACAAACTGAATACCTTTGGAAGTAGAGGATAGCATCAGAGCAGTCTTACTTTTGTTCTCCAAAGATGCCTCTATGTAGCCTTCAGCAACCGTGCTCGATTTCCACCCTCCCCAGTCTTTTGAGTTGCAATAGATCGGCCCCGTTGTCAACCAATAAGGTTGCGGAAGTACGACGAAAAGCATGCCCTGTAAAAGTTTCAATTTTTGGAAGCTTCAAAAAAGCAGCTATTTTATGTGGAAATTTTGAGATTGAATGATAGCCAATTGCTTGGTTATGTAATTTCCCATTTTCGCCATTGAACAAATAACCTGTCATTTTTCAAATTTTTTCCGCAAAGTGAGGTATTTGTGGAAAATAGCAACCCAATAATGGATCGCTTATGATAAACGATCGACTTGTGTAAGTTTTTTGTGTGTGGAATTTCTATAGCGATCTTTCCTTCCAAAACGTTGACGTGCTCCATTTTCATCTTGACTAGTTCATCGCTCCTACATGCACCCGACACACCAACAATTAGCGCTACCTGAAACCAGATAAAAATAAAATGGGGTAACCTAGCTATAGCATACAGAAAAATCATTTTGATTTTCGCATTTTTATCTTCTTTGTATATTTTTTGAAAACCTACCTTGATGCTAATGAATTCTTCAGCTGCCTTCGTGAGGAACTCGTTAATGTTTTCTCTGGAAAAAACGCTCGACTTTTTTCGGCTGAAAGCCCAGATTTTGCCGCTTCAAAAAAGCTATAAGTTTTGCGTAATTGGAGATATCAACTTTCTCTTTCAATTTAATCATGGTTTTCAACATACTGTAAGTCGACCATAAAGTCGAAGGCTTCTTTTCCTTAGATAATTCGCCAAAATACGCCAACAAAACGGTCTCCGAGGCAGTATTTCTCGTTCCTTTCTGGCTACACCATGCTTCGAATATTTGAAAAGCCTTTTCGTACCGAAATTTGCTTTTTGCTGGAAGCAAACTCTCTCCAATCCTGTCTGCTGCTTCTTTTAATTCAGGTGGGGTACAATCCATCGCTTCATCTTCACTTTCCGAAATCATTTCTTTGGGGAGAACGGGGAGAAATCTAGTGAAAATCTATTATTTCCGCAAAAATACTGAGCGAAAACTACCGTCGTTAAGGCGTTGTTGATCTTATCTATGGTTGTTGATTTTGCGGTTTCCTGTGGTTTCGTCTTTTGTTTTGGCCTTTACAGGGCCTTTGAGATCGTCAAAATTGATGACATTGACAAAAAAAGTGAAATATTTTTTTCTAAGGCCAGTTTTACACTATATGAAAATTTCGTATAACAGAATCTTTAGTTTTTGCATCAGAAAATTAAGGGTTGAAAATAAAAAAGTATACAAACCTCGACGGAAAACTTAATTTCTGTCTCGAGGTTGAGTTTATCTCGACGCTTCGCGTCTCGATAAACTATAATAACCTCTCGACCAGCAATGAAGTATTTTCCGTCTCGGATTGTAATATACTATTTACAAGTCAGTAGAATTATTTATTTTTGAAAAATCGGTTTTATGACAAGAATAATTGCTTGTAGGTACCTTCTGGGAGACTTTTCTGGTGATAAACTGTTGGCTACGACTGAGGCTTCATTAATAATATCTTGTAATAAATTCATTTCTGGAAAAAAATTGCAAAATGGAAATCTGTCAAAAAACCTATTTATAACTAGAAACAACGTCTTAACAACGTATCATTCTCATAGTTATACCAACTACCAAAACTTCTGTGAGAAAAAATCAAGGAAAAACATATAAATTTCAAATTTTTGTTATGTATTGATTTTTTATTTGTCCCTATATCTTTTACAAATGAGTAACAAATAAATTATTGTACATTATACGCCAGGTAGCAGTTTTTACTGGCTCTTGAAGGTGACAAGCTCGCCTGGCGGCTCGCTAGTCATTTCCTTCAATCGCCAGTAAAAACTGTTTTACCTGGCTAATAATGTAAAATACTATGTTGCTAGTCCAATAATAAATGTTTTTGATACAATTTTTTTCATTTTTTAAAATTATTTAGACTTTCCATTATTCTTTGAACAATTTAAAGAAACTTTTGTATAAAACATTTTTTGTTTACTCCAATATTAAGGCCATCAAATGACACCGGGTTTCAGGGGTGTCCGGAGTCCTCTTAAATGTTGTTTGTTTGGTGAAGGTGAAACAATCTGGGAGACAAAAAGAAGATCAATTTTTCCCCCTTTCTATCAATTTTTTTTGTGTTTTGACTCCAAATGTTTCTGCAAGCCATGTATTGAGCAAGATGCTTTGTAATAATGGGATTTAATTCAAACAAATCATAATCTTTGACTTTGGATGTCAGAAAATAGGTGCTAACTTTGGACATTGCTTATGGGTTACTTTCTAGTTCTAGCAGCTTTATGGGTTGATTTAACCCTTCAATGTTTTTTTTTTAAATTACTAAACATGGGCAACATCATAAATTATAAATTCTTTTATATGTATTTACTTTTTTATCTCTCCCTATTAGACAGTGAATCCCTAACACTTTTAGAGCTTTTGGAATCCTCAGATCTTAACTTCGTGATACTGGACCAGGCCAAAGTTTTGGAAAGAGTGACTAGCGAGATTGTCAAGTTGAGCGAAGGTGAAGAGTTTGATGATAATGAAGAAGATATACCGTTGCCCAAATCGGCTGTAGAAGAACAGGAATTGACTCCAGAGGAGTTGGAAGCTAAGAAAATTTTTGATAGTGCAGCAGGTCTGTATTAGTACTTATAAAAACTGGTTGAAGATTTCCACTAGTGATCGATTAATAAGTTTTTCAGTTAACCTGGCATTCAAATAACCAGTTTCACTGAGCAAAAGCATGAATAATTCAACATTGTTTGATTGAAAAGCACCTAGTTTGCAAAACTACCCTTCTTTATATCTACATCCTTTACAGCCTTATTAAACAAAACTAGACCAGACAAACCGAAAGTCTACCAGTTGCTGATTGAAGCGTCCAACAAAGGCAGCCTAGAAGCAAAAGCCTTAGTAGCTTGGGCCAAATTATTTGGAAGCACTTTGAAGCAAGATATTTATGTGGCCAAAGAAATGTTCCAGGAGCTTGCAGACCATGGAAATCCTGACGGACATATGGGAATGGGTTTCCTTTACGCTTCAGGCCTGGCTGTTAATGTTAGCCAATCAAAAGCTTTGGTTCACTATATGTTCGGAGCATTAGGAGGAAATACTTGGGCCCAAATGGCCATGGGCTATAGGTATTTTGCTGGAGCAAGTGTGGGACCTAGCTGTGAAAAGTCTTTGGATTATTATAGACATGTGGCCGATAAAGGTTCTGTTATATTATAAAATTTAATTCTTATTATAATTCAGGTTTTATTTTAGTTAGTCAAGGTGTTTCATTTGGTGGTGGAGCAGCAATTCAAAGAATAAGGCTCTTGGACGAACTAGAAAATGGATACACCTCAGGAATTTTGGATAATGATTTGTTCGAGTACTATCAACTTCTGGCTGAAAAGGGGGACGTTCAGGCACAGGTTGGCTTGGGGCAGTTGCATTATCAGGGAGGCAGAGGCGTGGATTTGGACTATCAGAAAGCCATGCATTACTTTACGCAGGCTGCTTCTGCTGGCAATGCCATGGCAATGGCATATTTAGGAAAAGTAATAATAATTATTTTCAAAATGACAAATTCAGTCAATAAATAAATTCATGATATACTTATCTGTAAAAGAAATAACAATTTTTAAATTCAATATTCACAAATAAATATGGGGTGGAATCCACCGACCCAATCCAACAATTTTGGTTATGACCCCCATTGGTTAGTTAACTAGAAGTTTTTTTATTGTTTAAATTTAAGCATTACTTGTTTGTGTGTTTTGATGTTCAAATAACTAATTTTGCATCAACATTTTTTTATATATATAATTTTATAGATCTATCTTGATGGTAGTGATGAAGTTGAAGCCAACAATGACACAGCCTTCAAGTATTTCAAAAAAGCTTCAGACCTGAACAATCCTGTTGGTTTGAGTGGACTTGGATTGATGTATTTATACGGACGAGGAGTGGAAAAAGATTATAGCAAAGCGTTTCAGTACTTTTTAGCTGCGGCAGACCAAGGTTGGGTCGATGGACAGCTACAACTAGGAAACATGTATTTTAGTAAGTGAAGCTTCAATTTTCATAAACTAAAGTAAATTCAAACATATTCTAGATGGTTTAGGAGTGAAGAAAGACTACAAATTGGCTAATAAGTACTTCAATTTAGCATCGCAATCCGGCCATGTGTTGGCATACTATAATTTGGGGCAAATGCATGCTAAAGGTACTGGAATGCTGCGTTCTTGCACTACAGCAGTTGAACTATTCAAAAATGTTGCTGAAAGAGGACGCTGGGGAGAAATATTGATGCAAGTAAGTTTGGTTAACATTATACTTATTTTTCCAAATTTTTCATTTAAATATTTCTTTAGTTTAGGTTATGCATATTGCTTCAATGCCTTATTAGTACTTTAAAATTATGAATACTTCAACAGCTTGCTTGTATGGCTCACCAAAAATACATAGGAAAGAAAAACAGCCTCATAATGCACCTTCATTACCTTCATATTTTTTTTACAAACTTTGTGAAAAACTCTTCCCATTATGAATATACAAGAAGGCTTTTGATAAGATTTCTCCTCGGATTTCTCACAGTATACTGCTCGATAGAATGGCTGACTATAGCCTGTTAGAAAAATCAATCCAATTTTTAAAATCATATCTATCAGTATCAGATCGTTATCAAATGGTAAAAACATTTTCTGAGAAGTACCGGGCTACATCGGGGGTACCTCAGGGTAGTATTCTTGAGCCATTGCTTTTTACTTTTTTTAGTAATACCTTGCCCGATTCCTTGAAGCAGTCAGTGGGCCTACTATTTGCAGATGATTTTAAGTTATTCAGAATGGTCTCTGAAATTGAAGATTGTAATCGGTTACAGGGTGATATGGATTGTGTGAGTGAATGGTTCTAGAAGAACAAGATTTTGAGAAATTGAATAATAAAAAGTGTTCTGTAATGTCTATTGCCAGAAAATCCAACTATATTGAGTTTAATTATAGTATAAACGGTAGGGTTTTGGATCGAAGAAGTGAGGTGATTTGGGTGTCTTTTTTCAGTCTAATTTTAAATTTAACAATCATTCATTATATACAAGGTGAGTTACTAAGCGCGCGGTGGTCCATATCTCCTATACTAACGCAGATCGAAAAAAAAAAACTTAATGCGAAACTTGTAGATAAACATGAGTACTACATTCCTAAATTATTTTCCAGTATACAGGGTGGCCCAAGAGGCAATAAGTAGTGGTGACTCAAAATTAAGTTTTTTTTCAAATGACTCCCCCTGTATATTATGACATTTCTGGATTCTGCGGAAAATTTTGGATATATTTCATGTGTATAGGCGGTTCTAGCCCATCTGTGCTGGGGGGGCTGGGGCCCCTGCTCCGAGGTCGCTCGCCGCAGGCCGCAGGTGGTGGAGGTGCCGTGTTCTTTCCCTTTCGCCAAATCTTCCTATTTGGTGTAATTATTTTGTACAGTTTTTCTTTTTGGGTGTTACGTGAATCAAAAAGTACCAGTATTTTTTTGTTTTTTTTTGTTTTGGTCAATCTAAATATTTTTGAGCTGCATTCCTATATAATTCCCCCAATTGATAAAAATTTTTGCGGTTGCATTTTTTTCTTTTGGACCTCATATCGTCTTTAAAGGTCTTACCATACATGACTGAGGAGAATAAGTCTGGATAGAAGAGACCTTTTTATTAATTGCTAATGAGTAGTGGAAGTGATGCAGACAGAGTGACACATAGTAAAGCAAGATCGCATTCGGAAAAACAGGAGAAAAGCGATAGCATCGAGAAAATTAATTTCAACCCTACACACCGAACCACGGTAGTTGGCACTCTCACCCCATCATTTATATTAGTCAGAAGCCCACCGAGTAAAAGTTCCGAGCATAAAATATTCGTAGAAGTTTAATCCAGTAATAAGCAAGAGAAAGTAAAGACCTTTTTCCCAGCGAGACTGAACAGTGATAGTCTCAAACGTATCGGTCGAAAAAATCGATGCAACTCCAGACCAGGAGTTAAAGAGCAAATCACAGAAGTCCGATATATTAATAAATCCGGAGTCAGGAAGAAACCGGAAAATGGCAAACACAACAATCCAGGATGCTTCGTTAGAAGCCAAAAGTCCCGCAACCCCTAAATTCATGGAACCACCGACTTTCAACCCAAGTTTAGATTCCCCAATTAATTTTCTGAGCAAATATGACAGGAAAACGAAGATATCAAGCACTTCAGCACTTCTACTTCGAATTATACGCCCTAGCTTATGAGATAGACCCTAAAATGCCCTTCGAGACTTTTAGGGACCATTTCGAGAATGGTCTCCACTCATCGTTCTACGAAACTTACTACCTCATGAGTTCAGGAACGATGGACCACGCCAAGTTGAGAACGTTGGTCCTGAAATTGAGCGAGGCAAAGGAACGCACCTTGATACAACAAATGACTGATGAAACCAGCCTACTAAAATATGTTTTTTTTTTAAGATAATTCCCCAAGTCAAAAATTTAGTAACTATGTTGGCAACACAAGTCTTTTCTACATAAGAAATTTGAAAGCATTGACAATTTTACATTGTTTTGCCAACATAATGTCAATTTGACTTTTATCTTTAAAAAAAAAACAGGCTTTAACATTAAACGAGCGAAAGGGCGGTAATTCAAGCGATTTTAAAGGCACGGCTGGGCACTCAAAAAACTCCGGAAGAAATTATGAACATAACGATAGAAATTCTAAAAGTTTTGAGGAAAGTTATGGGTACAAAAGAGAGTACGAACCATAGAGAAACAGACCAAAAAGAGAGTAGCGAATTAAACGAGAGAGATCGGCACCGCTGTATGCCTGGTAACGCCTCCGTGAGCTACAGGATGAACTAAACTTGTGGGACGCATGGCGGGAAATTTAAATTGGTACTGAAGATTATTCGGTTTTAATGGAAATTTTTAGGGAAAAAAAAACAATACCTAATTCTTTATCAAGCTAGTTTTATTGAGAAAATTATTAGCGGCATTTTTCAAGCAATAATGAAATAAATAATAACTCTTGAAATATAAATAATATAAACAAAATCTGAATTCTTCAAGTAGTAATGAAATAAAACAATAACTCTTATAATACGAATAATGTCAACAATAGTAATGAAATTAATAATAAATAACTCTCCAAATACAAAAAATGTGTGATAGAAAACGAAAACATTGAACTATCCTCAGTCTAACAATAATAAAAATAAAACAATAAGTATAATGTAATTATTTATGCAATATAAAAAAATACAACACTGACCTGACACATAATGAGAGCTCTCGGAAGCCCTTTGTTTACATTTCTTATATTACAATTGTTGAATAAATGGAAAAATAGAAAATTATTTTTTCTACAAACGTGTTAAAAATGCAATTTTTAACACCGCCCCGAAGCATTAAAAATGTTACTTTATCGCACTAGTGCCATAAAGTCTTTATAGCACTAGTGTTAAAAGTGAAACATCAAATTTTGAGAGCGGACGTCAAAAAAAGTTTGTATTTTCAGTTATTTACATTGATAATAATGGTGAAATTTGAACAACTGAGGTAGCCCGATTGGCCGCCTCATCTATATTTTTCGAAGGATCGATGCAACTCTCTTTTTCTTCTGTATTTTGTTGCATTTTTAGCAAAAAGCATTCCTGACCACGATATACTTTCAAGAAACTGACAAGACATTTCGTTACAAGGTGCTGGTTGTATGGATTTTTTGACAAATGTCAAATTCAAGAATTTTATGTAGGAAAGATGCTTCCAATTTATTATTCATTTAAAAATCCAATTTGTTAGTGGTTATTGCTTTTTATTGCCGTTTGTAGAAAAAATATTGTATGATATTTGTGTTAAAAGTATTTTTAAGGCACTTATGTCACATGCGTGCCTTAAAAATGTACTTTTAACACTTATATCATAAATAACTATTTTTCAATATTTTTCCTAGAAGTGAACTGAGGTTATGTTTATCTACGTAAACAACAGCAGGTGTCAGTTAATATGGAAATATCTACTGTTCTGTCTCCTTCTTCTTCTTCTGTAGTGCTTCAATGTTGCTAGAATGAGACGGAAACGAGCACGTAGGTCGAATCCCGACGCGATAAATAAATGGACAACTTTGCGACGTCTGCGTTGTGCTACAGGCATAAAGGAATGCGGTGCCGATCTCTCTCGTTTAATTAGCTACTCTCTTTTTGGTCTGTTTCTCTATGGTACGAACCAAGAAGACCCTACAATGGGAATAGGGGTAGGGGATACCATAGAGACGGATCAAACATTGTAAAATTAAATAAAAGCAGCTATAGGGCAAGTACACGATCTGACAGTTTGACACTATTGACAGTCGCCTTGAGGTAAAACAAAGATATAATTTACAGTGGTTTTTTAAGTTTTTAGTAAGATTTTTTTAAATAAATACCTTTTATTTTTAACCATATATGAATGTTGTCATTACTGACTTTTCAAAAATTTGAAAATGTCACATTTCTGTCTTTTCATTTTCCTACTCCATTACCTGTCCCAGGACGGGAAATTTTTTCCGTCCTCATTTCCCGTCCACGGACGGAAAATGGAGCAGGGAAATATTTCCCGTTCTCATTTTCCTCTTCCTTTGCCGACCTCATTTGGTTGCCCCGAATTTTTTTTTTTTTCAAGAAATTATGGTTAAAAATAAAATAGTATACAACCCTCGACGGGAAACTTCATTGCTGTCTCGAGGTTCAGTTTATCTCGACCAGTAATGAAGCATTTCCCGTCTCGGATTGTGATATACTATTGTGTGCTCCAGAAGTTTCTTGGACATGCCTAAAGTTTGTTTACTTGTTAATTGTGGCAGTATAGCGCAAGGGATACAATATCCTTCCATAGGTTTCCATCAATTTTAAATAACAATGGGAGGTTGGATTTGTTAGCTCAAGAGAGAAGAGAAAAATTGATTAATGTTCTTAAAAGAGAAGATCTGACAGAAAAATAGATTGAATATAGAGTAACTATACTTATATATTTGTTCTTGTGACACTTGGTTTTGATATTTGTTGGAAAAAACCTGAATTTAATCCATTATAGAAAAACCTAGCAAACTTTTAGATGAAAGACCACATAGACTGGAACACAAACACTCCGTTCTAACTTTTTTAAAGTAAAATAACAACAAAACTTGTGAAAAAGCTGTGAAAACCGCATAAAACATAACCGGCCTAATCTAAACGAATGTAAATAAATGATTTGTTTTACCTCAGGGCGACTGAGAACTCATTTGTGACGTCACATGGACATGCCCTATTGGAA